TGACTTTTATGGGAACTTTCGGTCTAGTGTTCTAAGAAGTCGGTTTTTGTTCATGTATTTGGTACGCATGTAAACATTTTTAAATTCACGTTGGTAAACTGAGCATACACTGCAATCGAACGCGTGCTTTTCAAGATAAATGTTATCGAAAGAATGAGTTTAAAAGTGCGTGTTTTGGGGGATGATTTGTGGGATATGCCCCTAGTGAGTAAAACGGGTAGTTTATACTTAATATTAATATTTCTAGTCTAATATTATACATTGCTTCCAACCATGCAGGATAAGTCTTCTCCAGTGCATCATTGAACCAGTCATCGGATTTTAGTATCGATTACTTTTATTTGGCTGAGCTCCGTTGAATGCAACCAGGCTCCTAGTACTGCCAACAATTTTAATGGGAACGTATGTTTGTATATATGTAGGTCTTAAATTTTAACGGGTATCCTTTATTTTTCGAGGCCCAGCTGCTTTCTGTTATCCTTATTCGCTATTTCTTGCACTTACCGAGAGAGAGAGAGAGAGAGAGAGAGAGAGAGGCTTTCAGAACTCTTGAAGCGCATTCAACTAAAAAATATGTACATAGACGTGAAATATACGTACGTACGTTAACGAAAATGCACTTGAATAAAAAACCAATTGCCAGTTTTCGTTTATTGATTTATGTATATTTTATTGTTAATATTATTATTATTTTTTTTGTGAATGCGCATCTGCATAATGGTACATATGTATGTGTGTATGTATGTAACTATTTCTTTGTAGTATATATATGCATTGTATTTGGTTGGTTAGGACACAACTAGGAGAATATGAGTTTGTAGCTTATAGATTTTCTTATTCATATATATGTATGTACATATATCTAATAATTTGCTCTGAAATACAATACATAAACAATAAAATGTAATCTATTTTTTTTTTTAATACAATAAATATGTATGTATATTAATTTTCTTTTACGCATTTATATATGCATGTGACGACCTTTAATAAAACATTTACTTATATTTAATATTATGTGTGTATCTATAAATTACACATTTGACAACATTTCAATTTCAATTTAGCTAGTTTAAAGATTTTTGCCAGTACCTTCTGTGTTACATAGTTATAAACTCTGGGATTAATAATATAATAATGTGCAATAATTTTTTGAAGTAATAAAAAAATCGAAGCCGCAGACGTAAAATATTTTTGAGTTATAAAAAGCACCATAAGAAGCTTTCTTTCTAATAGTACAAATAAATATTTCTTAAATAATAATATTCTTTTTTTAAGTAGGGTACCAATTTATAATAATAATACGCTCCCGTATGAGTTAGAATGTATTTCCCAAATATATATTAAAAAAAAAGAATCGAATAGCAAAATTATTACTTTCAGCCGAACCTTATCTAATTGACATATTTTTTTAGTCTGTTTTGCGTTTTTAGTTAATTTCAAAAAACAAAAAAATAAATAAACCCGATTTGTACTGCATTTAAAATGTGACAAGCGTAATACTAAATATAGATATATATGTACATATGTATAATAAGCACAGGTAACTTTAACATTTTCCATAGGTACATAACGTCTTGCATATACAATAGGGTGATCCAAAATAACTAATTTACCGAATCTATGGTCTTAAATGGACCTATTTACTGCGAAGAAAATTCTCCCATTGGGAAAAATTTTTTCTCATGAAAAATGTGGATTCCTAACGGTTTAATAGCTATAGCATTTTTAATGAAAATACATTTTTTTTATCATACAATTTACATGTACAATTTCAAATCCCCCTCGACACCTTTTAAAATTTGAATAAAAATTTTTCCAAACGGGAGCATTTTCTTCGCAGCAAATAGATCCATTTAAGACCACAGATTCGGTTGGTTAGTTATTTTCGATCACCCTAATATATAACACACATACATAAGTATATATCGATATTGCATACGTAAATATGTATGTGACATGCATAAATATATTTGCATAAATTCACATTGCGTGTTTTATTCTTATAATAAACTGAACTTAAAAGCTGACGTAAAATGACTTAAGGCTTGTTCTCACTACGTCATCATATCTTGCGCAAAATTAGTGTAATATGTATACTTTTCATCAACATTTCGAAATTTTAAAAAAGGATTGAACTAAAGTGTTCACAGTTCAAAGAAGTAAGTACAGATGTAATTGAATAAACACAATATATGCTCAGATAGTCAGGGATAAAGGCTGGCATGCCAAAAAAAAGAAAACAAAATATAGACTGCCAGACCTGCCTTTGCTAAAAAATATTTCACAGAAATAAAAAAAAGTAAATAAATTGTGAAAACTGTTTAAGTGTTGGGAAGTGCAGGAAAATGCTGTAAATTAAAAAGAATACCAAAAATAACTTAAAAACATGGGTTAAAATCATAAAAATGACGAACAAATTAACTCATAAAAATATGATTTTTTTTTAATCTTAAACCTACGAATGGAACTTCTATATATCTTGAAAACGCCTCTCAAGCTCCAGGGAAAAAATATGAAACTTAAAAAAAAAATTTGTGCACTGATTTGAAAACTTGAAAAATACTGTATGTAAATGTGAGCATTTTTTTTGTGGGATAATTTTGCAAAGTATGGAAAGTACATATATTTACAACAAAGTCTCTAAAGCCAAGAATGTCATCGATGACAAGTGGATTGTTTTTTTCGGCAATTTATTTCTGTGAAAATTATAATATAACCTATTGATACAAATTTCTCTTCTTCCTTTCTTTCTTCCACAGACATTCCAGTTCAAAAATTAAATCGAAAATGCAATCAAACTATAAAATTTAAATTAAAAAGATATTCATATTTCATCCACAATGCTGTTTGGAACAAATAAGAAACTTCTCAAATAAAATACATACAGGCGGGTTCTGCAATTCACTTCCGACTGAATTTCAACGCCATACAATTTGAATTCAAAGTGACTTTGATTGAAATTCACTCGGAGGCGTATTATCAAATCTGCCTGAATACTCTTAAATTTGCTAAATTTATTCTTTCTTTTATTTGAACATTATATAACATTTATGTATGTATGTATGTAAGCAAATTGAATTGTTTAAATGGACGAAACATTTAATTCGAAGGAAATTGTAAATATTGTCTTAACAAAGTTCGTATGAGTACCACGAGTAGGTATGTGTGTATGTATGTATGTATGTACATATGTGTCCACACAATCAAGCATAATGGAATTATGCAAATTTTGTACTTCTGCGAATTAATAAAGCGAGCCTTAGACCAGATTTTAATAGCGATGAAAAACTGCGCGCATATGTATGTATGTATCCTTTGCGATGCTCGGCTCCAGCTTCCTAAGGTCATGCAGGTGTAGCTAAGCGCGCTTCGCTGATCAGTTCAGTTCTCAGCTTTGCCAAAGCCTTTCGTGTGCTCGAGTCATAAATGCCGCTGAATTGCGGGCGGCGCTGTGTGCGGGATGGTGGGGTGTATGCCTTGGTGGGTGATAATGGTGAATCTTTAGTGATGGTGGTGGTGGTGGTGGTTGTGTTCTGTGTGGCTTACTTTGACTCATTTTTAATTAAATACTAAATTTTTTATAATTATATCTGATCCATATACATATATATTTGTATGTTTGTATGTAAACTTTTTGTTTTTTTATTTTTCTTCAAATAACAGTCCAAAGCGTATTCGTTAAGATATATTTTTTTTATTGGCTTTTCATCAGCTGCATGCTGTCTGTATGAGTTTATTCCACTACAACCAAAATGTATTCAACAAAGTGTGATTGATTTTGACATTGCTCTCATAAGAAACAGGCTATAATGTCAAACTGAAATGAATTCTTAACCCATTTGAATTTTTTTTTTCAAATTTGAATTTGTTTAAAAAAAAGTTACACACAAATTTTTCAAGCAACAAATTTTCTTAATAAACGTGAAATTGTTAAGAGATAATCCGCCGAGGAGACCAAGTAAGTACATTTAAAGTTGGGTAGTAAGTAAATACGTTCGACTTTTCTTAAATATTTAATGTAAGGAAACCAAGATGAAACGGAGCAAAACGTTTGAACGGTGCGCTGTATGCAATAAAAGTCAGGACACGAAAATAGTGCGATGTTTTAAACCACCTAGTTGCGAATTAAGACGGCAGCGATGGGAAGAAAGCTGTGGTGTTGTACTACGTGATTCATCTCGCGTTTGTGAAAACCACTTCAAGGAAAGTGATTTCCAAATCAAACACTTTCCAACGAGCTCGTTTATACCCATGCGCAGTCCCAATGCCATACGGAAAAACTGATACAAGTGAGGATTTAGTACACGATCAGGATACATTCTTTTTTGATGATCCAAACTCAAACAGACGACTCTTTAGAATGCACGTTGCGAACAGAAGTATTTCGGCTTACCGAAATAATTAAAACCCTGCAAGCAAGTATGGAAGAGCTTAAATTAAAACCGCTCGAAGCAAGGTCTTTAATGGAAAACTAGTTCACATGAAAAAAATTTTATTTCAAAATT